AGGGAAAGACTTAAAATTATGAACAAAGAAAGAAGTTGCTTTGTTAAATCTAAAAAAAGGATAAGTATTTTGTGATTCCTTTAAAACTTTTTTTTGTGTTGCTAGTTTATTTTCCAACATGAGGAGAACAATTCAGAGATTTAAAACACATGTTTTTATACAGTATTTCTAAACTGTAACAATCTATTGCTGTTGCTTCTGAATATACAGGCAGTCCTTGACTTACAACTTTTTGAGTTACGTTTCTTACATACAACATTTATAAATTGACACCCTGTTTTAATTTCATGATATCAGTTTCGACTTTACAATGCTTGATCTGATGTGACACCATGCCAGCGAACAAGTTCGCTGTGTCGCTCATCTCCCTGGAGAACATCTGTCCAAACTTCCTTGGACACTTTCTTTAAGAAAGCAGACAAGACTCCAGAAAAACCTGCATCTAGGACTCCTGAGAAGACTCCAGCCAAGAACCCTTCAAAAAGTCCAACCAAGAGCCTTTCAAAAAGTCCAGCAAAGTCACCTCAAAGAAGTCTTTCCAAATCAATATGATTGCTATTTACCATATAAATACATTAATGTAGCTATATTACTCAACTATAATTGATGGAGTACAAAATTCTGAGGTATTTTTGGTGAAAATAGGGTATCGGGCCTTGGTTCAGGAACCAATCCCCCATTTATAACATTGTTTCTTATGAGAAAATTGGTTCCAAGTTGCAACATTTCGACTTAAGATGCAGTTTTCAGGAACCAGTTTTGTCATAAGTCCGAGGACTGCCTGTATACCAGCCCAAAACTTAATATATTCCCTGATATCTCTTAGTGTGGCTGATTTTAAATCTCAGATGCCATATTGAGCAAGCCAAAGAATATTTCTGTATATTAACAGACAAGATATAATATTAACATTCTATTTGTCTTTGCTTAGGTGACTATGCCAGATGTAGAGTTTTTTGTCAATTTAGGGGATTGGCCTTTGGAGAAGAAAAAAACTACACAGAACCTTCATCCTATCTTCTCCTGGTGTGGATCTACTGAATCAAAAGACATTGTGATGCCAACCTATGATCTGACAGACTCCGTTTTAGAAACTATGGGCAGGTAAAAAATCTTTTGTAACTTTCACAAAATGTTAAGTGTGGGTAAATGATCTTCCAAAGTATATAGTGTCAACATTTTAATAACTGTATCTTGTGTTTATTCAGATTAATTGTTGTGATAACACTGACACACCATTTTCAGACCTGACAAAATATACATAATGTATGAGTGTATCTGTTTTATAAATATTACATAATTGTCACATTCCTTTCATTTCTCCTTCTGTTTGAGAAACCAAAAGGAAACTAAATATAGTCAAATAAATAAAACCATTACCCTTCCTACCACCCAGCTTCATAATCAGGAGGATAATTTTCAACTTCTTTTTTCCCTGTTACTTCTTGTTTCTTCACATTTTAATTTTGGCCAAGTGTTATTACTTTTTCTTCTTCTATAACTTATCTAAGATACATTCAATCCTTTTAAAATCTATATAACCAAAACTCACATAGTGGCCCTCATCAACTGCCACCTTAGTTTCTACATTCTTTCCTGGGGCCTCACTAATAGCTAGGGATGGATCCAGGGAGCTGCGGTGGTACAGTCACATCTCCCCCCCACCTTCAATTTCTGCTTCAGGGGTAGGGGAGAATGTCCAACTCTTAATGTCCAGCTCTTCATCAGGAGGGAGGGAAGAACTCTGAGCAAGTTGGAGGCTGTCTTCAACTTGGTTCTGGTCAGACCTATTAGGTAGTGGCCAGTAGAGTTGCGGGGCCAGAACACAGGCATCACACCCTGGGCAGACCAGGTGGGCGTGGGAAAAAATATTGTGTCAGCTGTCAGAGAGCAGCAGCAGCAATGGTGGCATTATCTGCCACATTTCAGCTGCTGCTGCTGCACCACAGGTGTTAGCTCCAGCTGGGGGATGAGCTTCTCCTGCCCTGGTTGTGGTAGCCACCAGGGCATGAGCTCTTCAGGAGCTGTCAGTTTCGGGACAAGGGCTCATGCCCCTATTGTGTCCACCCCAGGATTCGCTGCTGCCTATTCTCTAAACATAGCAGCCAGAGCCCACAACCATGCTGCAGCAGCAACAGCTGGAGTGGAGCACCCAAGGCATGGTCTGTAACACTGCTGCTGCTGATCTCTGGCCATCAGAATAATATTCCCCCTCGTGTCCCAAGGTATGGAAGGAAGCCTACAAGATCCAGGTGGAGAAGCAAGGTCACACAGGGCTAGGGACATGCAGGGCCTCACTAATTTCCTACTTTAGGGTAGAGAAGGGTCTGCTCCCTGCTCCCTCACCCACTGCCCCCACTCCTAGGGGGTACCCTGGAGCTGTAAGGAGCAACCCCCTCCCCCCTGCCCTTGTTGGACCTCCCCCAACTCTATCAGCAAAAAATTCTAGATCTGCCCATGCTAATAACTGTATTGCTACCTCCAACGATGCAAAAACAGATTATTGTATCATTTTCCATGTCCATCACTTTGAATCCATTTGCATCATTCACCTGCTCAGTACTTCACTGCATTCAGTTTGAGCTTCTTGCACTTACCATTAAAACTCTACACAGCACAATTTCCTTTTTATATTCTCCAATCTCTTACCATAGTGCCTCTCCCCACCCCACTGCCTTTTCACTCTTCAAGGATAACTGCTTCTCCATCATTATCCAGCTTCATCCACAACCACCTCCATGTCCTCTTCCATCCTCTCCTTGTCACCTAGGTTATCAGATCTGCGTAGTGACCTTTCCTCCTCCAAATTTTTCCTCAAGACCTGGCCCTGCCACAATGCCAGGAGCTATCAACCTATTGGCACTGGTTAGGCCTTATCTATAGTATTGTGTATAGTTTGGGGCTCCCTAGTTTAAGAAGCACATGGAGAACTTGTAGGTGGTCCAGACACAAGCAATGAAAGTGATAAAAGCACTGGAAGGCAAGACATATAAGGAAAGGTTGGGAGAACTAGGTACGTTTAGCTTAGAGAAAAGAAAATTAAGGGGAGACATTATAGTAAAGTCAAATATGTAAAAGATTGCCCTAAAGAAGAGAAAGAAGAACTGTATTCCCTCATCGTAGATGGCAGGACACAAAACACTAGCTTTGCATTGCAGCAAAGCAGATTAGGTGATATCTCAGGAAAAATTCCCTTACTGCCAGAACAGTATGCCAGGGAACAGATGGCCCTGGGAAGTTATGGTATCCCCTTCACTGGAGGTCTTCAAGAGAAGACTCATCAGAAATTATTTAGGAATAGGATTTCTATATTCTTTCAGGGGGTTGGGACCTCCAGGTTCCCTTCCAGTTCTATTCTTTCCAGTCTGTTTAAACTATTTTGAATAACTTTACTGAAACAAGTAAAAACACTGTGAGTGCATCTACAGGAGCTATTAATATGGCTCAAAAAACTTTGGTATATTTCGCACTGGAATCAAATGCTCCCGGGCACAGCATCTTCACAGGCACCCAGGACCGCAGCAGTTTGAGCCAAAGCAGTTTGAGCTGGCAGTAGGTGTGGGGGTTATCTCCAGGCTCTGGGCAGTGGTGTTGGGCAGTGGAGGGGCTGGCTGGTGCACTGCCAAAACTGTGGAGCTGTGTGGCTGCCATCTTGGGGCTGCTCTGCCCCGGCCCAAACTACTACTGTCCACACATGCGGTTCTGCACAGTAAATAACTCCACTGTAAGATAGTACTGTCCCCGACATTACTATCTTACGGCAGTTAATTAATTTACTGTGTCCTAATACCAGCACACGTGTAGACTGTGAGGTTTTACTGTGGAGCTAGTCAACTCCACAGTAAAGCACACGTGTAGATGGACACTGCATGTAGCAACTGTGAGGTAGAAGCAGCCCCAGAATTGTTTTTTAAAAACTGATGCATAAAAACTACAAAATACCTCTTTTTGAAATGTTCATCTTCTCCAGAGTTAGCTTGGATATGATGTCTGTTCAGGCCAACACTGGGCCACCTTGGGAAGAGAAGAACAGCACAGCATTTTGGAGAGGACGTGACAGTCGAAAAGAGAGGCTTGAACTTGTAAAGCTCAGTAGAAGATACCCAGATATCATAGATGCTGCTCTTACAAATTTTTTCTTTTTTAAGCATGATGAAAGTCTCTATGGTCCCATTGTGAAGCACATTTCATTTTTTGATTTTTTTAAGGTAAGACATCAACTATTATTTATACTTTTTGGTAGATTTAATGTCCCTGTTTGAAGGTTTTTTCCTCAAAATATCTCTGCATATATAACATATGCAATAAAGCATATTCATTTTCAAACACAAAACAAACTTGATGATAAAGAATTATACTTTCATTGATTCCTGTACAGTCCTTTTAGGTTTAGAATGATTACACTTTGCTTATTAGATTTGGTGATTTTTTTAGTAACATCCTGACCAATCTAATCTTCCTAAATTCCTTTTAATTATTTATCTATCTCGTCTAGTGATCATATCCCATCCCTTCATAGTATTACTTAAGTAATGTGACCAATCTGATAAAAGCAATGGTACATATTTGTTTACGCAGTTGAAGAATTGGGAGCTGATTTTAAGCAAGGGTTATATAGCATAGAGGATACGTCCATGTACTGTCTGCAACGTAATGAATTTCACACTAAATTCTAATATTATAAAAGCCTGAGCTTGTCTGTCTGTCCATAACACTTTATTCGCACTCTGATTGGTTGTCTGAAACAACCAATCAGTGCTCTAAAAGCATTCCAAATAGGAGGCGTCCCCCCATCCCTGCTCCCTGGCAGGGTACTGGCCAAGGGGGACAGAGGAGACAGCGGATCAAGCTTCCCTCCCTACCCCACTGCTCCTGGGAGGTGGCAGTGCAAGGTGCTGGCAGCACAGCACTGGCCTTGCCCCCCCACTTTGGCCTTGCTGCCGTTGCTGGGCCCTGAGAGAAGCCAGACGGGGAGGGAAGCGGGAAGGGGAGGGAGGGCACACCGGC